ACACACACACACACATAAAATCCCCCTGCCTCATTGTACGTTATACCTCCCTGCTAGCGCTGCCCAGTTTATTTGTCCCGCTGTCTGTGTCGGGGATGTGAATTATTTGTACTGCCAGCCTCCCCTCCTGCGCTTCAGACTGAATTCTCCTTTTCCTTGGAGCAAATGGGTTTTTCTGCACTCATTGTTCTTGCCTCTGTGCCTGTGTGCTGCTTGTGTGGCTCCCTAAATGCCATTCTGTGCAGAAGCTAGCCTAGTTTTCTACAAGAGCCCTGTAAAAGCTAAGGCTTTTACTTGGCTTCAGCCACTAAGTAGATAAGGTACTAAAAGTCTTCTGTATTTTGGATGCATCATCTGTGAGATACCACACTAATTATGAAGCATTTGCTCTGATCTACTGTCAGGGATTTTATAATTCTTTAATGTCCATTATACAGAATCTTTGTCCCTTTATTGTGTTTATCTCGCTTTAGATTAGCTTTAACTAGAATAATGTAAACTCAAGAGCTGCTAACAACTGTGTGTCAAATTAAGATTTGCATGTGTCTTCTTCAAACTGCCATCTTTAAGGACGCCGGGGACACTGAGCTGTCCAAAGTGCTCTCAGATAAGGCGGTATGTGTAAAGAGCTACATGGATTTAGCTAGAAATATGTAGCTGTGTTAGACCTGTATTTTATAGTGTGTAGTTATAGCTGTAGTAGTTGATGTTGTTCTTTGGTGTTGTTTAGAATATGCTCTGTTTATTGTGGTTGTGGCGCTTTGAGAAAATGGGCAGGAAGTTTTTTTGTATTCATGTTTTGTAACCAGGACATTAAATCCGGGACAGCTCAGAACTTTGACAGCACCTCTCACCTCTCTTCCCTTCCTTATGGGCGTATTGTCTTCTTGGGGTCATTTTTAGTTTGGCACTTAAATGTGACAAACAAATAAATCAGGTTGTTCAATTCAGATTCAATCATCACCATACTGTTTCCAAAAAGTCATTTTATGCTTTTATTGGAGAGACAGCAAATGAGGGACGCTGAATAACGTGTGACATGGGTACCTGGCCAGACTCAAACCAGGAATGTCGCTGGTACATAGTCATCCCCTCAAATCCTTAGGTCACCACAACACCCCAACATATCCCTCCATATCTAAATAAGCCAAACAACAATACTATTCCAGCACACACCAGGATACAAGGATCGACACTGCTGTACTACATTTAAAACAAAACCACTCAAATATCTCAATCCTGCTTTTATTGTGGGAAATCCTGTCTGTATAATACAGTATCACAGACATAAATGTTATGATGAAGGCTCTTTCTCATTAGCCACCTGAAAACTATTGTATTCCCTTCCTACTTTCATTTCTCTTTTTGATTATCATCGCACTCACAGGCTTTCAATCTGGAACATTAAACCGTATCTGTATCTTTATGCTTGTTCTCTATTTTACTGAAACCTTATTGAAGTTATATTCCCTCTTCTACTGTTTGTTTTTCCTGTAAAGCCCTTTGGATTAACTGTGTTCTAGTTAATGTGTTATATAAAGTTTAGTTGAGTAATTTCTGACAAGTCAAAACAGGTCAAGGTATTACATTTTACTGGTGTTGTGTAATCATTTATCATTAGGGTACCTTGGTTTGAGATTAAGAAATATTGTTACTCATTTCCTCTGTGCGGTGCCACGCCCCAGTTTGGATGTTGATTAATCAGGAGAGGAAAAGCCCTGGATGAACTCTTTTAGAGATTATTTTTGCTACTGTGTGAAGCCGGCGCTGCAGTTCTGTCAGCAAGTGTCTCATGAATTGACTGCATTTATGTCAGCGAGTTTGTTTTGCACCCGGGCCGGCACCACATCCCGCTGTACACGACGTGTAGAAAACAACAACAACAAAAAACACTCAAACTCACATAGTGAATGTTCGACACACACTTGAGCACAAACACAACATTTGTTTTCCAGCTTATTTCCGTGTGAACGTGCCTAATTAAAAATAGTTCTATGTTTGTCCTTAAACCCTCTAGCTTTTTTTCAGACTAACACACCATGTTGTGACTCACAGAGGAGTCACGGCTTCAGGCATGAACGAATCGGCGTGTCTATCAGTAGCCCGGAGACACATTTTTCTCCAGAACCCGGGCTGGTAATTGAACCTCGTGACAAAAGTCTGAAAATAAACCGTTTTGCTCTGACTGGCGCTGCATATTATTCAGTAATACTGCTGCTCCAGCATTTCTCTTCTTATTGTGAGAGCTGCACTGGGAGAAAAGCCCTTGTTTTTGTCCACATAAAGCTGCACAATCACTGTGCTGCATGCAAATGACTGGCTCCTATTGTGTTAGCTGTAAGTGATATCTTTGTGAAGGACATAAAATTAAAACAATTGAAAGAGTGCATCTTGAGGCCTCTGGTGAGGCTGTAGATTATATGGCCTTTGTGTGTGTTAGTGTAATGTGGTGTGGCAGTTTAATAGCCTCCCTATGTGAAGGAGGTGGCGTGTGATGGAGGCTCATTTACAAATGGCGTCTGGTTTTTCTTATTTATCCAGTCCTCTTGTGTTTAGATGCTCATAGACTCAACACTTCTTTTAGTAAAACAGTCCTCGTTTCCTTTTTTTAAAAACACTTTTCAACAGAAAAAAACAGCACAGTACATCAACGTCATTGCCAGGCAGCATTATGACATACACAACATTCATATACCAACTTCATATTATAGATTATGGACAAGGGGGCATTACACTGCACTCCACATTTTGCATTTACGTTTCCATGTTTGATAGAGTGTACAGCAAAGGGAAGGTAAATTACATTTTGACAGTAGGGATGACAGGGAAACCACCAACCATATGTGAAAAATCTTCTTCATTTTGACCATCTTGTGATGTATACATCATTTTTCAATCTCAGTAGGAGAGTCACTTTTTCCATTTCATGGATCTCTTTTACAATTTCAAGCCAGTTATCTACTGTAGGTGGATCGGTCTGTAACCGTTTACGAGTGATTGCTTTTTTTTGCTGCTACAGTAATTTTTAGGAGATATCTGTCATTTTCTGTTATTCCTTCTGGTATCTCAGCCTTGTTTGCTTTTATCGCTGAATTGTTTTTGTCATTTCTATCATTTGATTTAGTTCCAACACACTGCCGAGCCGGAGAACTCTGAAAAACTCCAGACTGGTCTGCAAGAAAGACGACGTCCACGTCTGCATCATGTGCCTGCGTGCTATTATGAACTACCAGGTCAGTCCTCGTCAGTCCCTGGAGGATGTCCACTCAGGCCGCATGTCCCTCTAGATTACAACACATTTATCTAACTGAAGCCAAATTCAATTTGTTCCACTGCTAGTTCTGTGTTTCATTTATTATGCAGAGGAATGCACCGCTTGCTCTTTCTGTGGCTCCTCTTCTCTCTTAATTAGCTTAATTTGTCTCTGTCTTACTCCCTCCTGTTTGTTTTTTCAACTTCCAGTATGGCTTCAACATGGTCATGTCACACCCACATGCTGTGAATGAAATTGCACTAAGTCTCAACAATAAAAACCCAAGGTAAGTTCGAACAAAAAGCTAACAAAATTGACTAAAAGTGATGTTTTGCAGATTCTTTGCCCTTTATCTACATAAATACCTGGATGTGCTTATGTATCTCTTTGCTAATAAAGGCAGATAATAAAATATTTTTTGTACATTTGGAGCTTAACAAGTCTAAATATTTTACCAACAAAGACCCAAATTCATAATGGAACATTCAGAGTCCAACATTAGCCTCAGTGCACCTGCACAGTCGGATCCAGAGTGAGTGTCTTTGTAGCTCAGGGGCACATTCATCCCGACAGACGGGTCAGGGCGCCGTTGGCACACTCCACTACACTGGCAGCTGCTTACTGAAACAGCCAGCAGAAGGACTCACTTATGTGTGTGTGTGTGTGTGTGTGTGTGTGTGTGTTTTTACTTCATGCCCAGAGGTTTAAGGATTTCCTCAAAAGTGGATGTGAAACCACTTCGCATCACCTGTCACATATCATCTCATCCAGGCAGAGAAATCCTCCATGAATGAGAGGCAGAGTGGATGCACAGGATGTCGCTGTCCTGTGTGCTCCAAGACACACACAAACAGACAAACACAGACAAACACACACACAGAAAACACACGGATTAGGCCTGAACCATTATTTTTTTATACCTGCCTTTTAATCCAGTGGATAAAATGAAAATGTGGAGCTTTCTCAGGTTGTGACATTACAAAACAGTTTTTTCAATGGGTTATTTAAGACAGACCTTTATATTCTTGATATTTCAGCATAATAATCCATTTTCTTAAAGTTGTGTTGTTTTAAAAACAATTTTAAAAAATGTTAATTTGCATAAAAACCGCAATAGATCCGCTCTACATGGAGGTTTCAGCATGGGTTTTCCACTTTGTTTGTTCCGTGTTTAAGTAGAGGTTTGCTGCAGCGCTGGCACTTGTCATTTACTAACCATTGCTGCCTTTATTTTCTCCCTGTTTTACAGAACTAAAGCTCTGGTCTTGGAGCTCCTGGCGGCAGTTTGTCTCGTGAGAGGAGGCCATGAAATTATTCTCTCCGCGTTCGACAACTTTAAGGAGGTACGAGCTGCACAGAGAGGGGAAGTGGGGTCTGAGGAGACGAATATGTCATTATAATTTCGACTGTGCAATTTCAAACAGTGACTCATCCCTGGAGGAATGCTCCACCGGCAGATGTGAGACCAGCAGATTCCTCATTCCTGCAAAGGGGATTGCATCTAAGAATGAGCTCTTTTGTCCGTAGATCACAGGCAGTCGTTTAGCTTCATAACACAGGAGCTTTCGACATCCAGGGAAACAGTTACATGTGTGTCAACTGGATTTGGCAGACACATCAAAGTTCAGAATAGCAGAGAGAAAGATGTAACAGACAGCCTTGCCTGACCCTTGCCTGGGTGAGGTATTCCGGCTAGCTGGAGAAAAGAGTGGGAGGTTTATGATGGAGTGGGCGCTAACAGCCGCCCCATTTTGTAGCATACGGCCCGCAAAAATGGGCCGACTGCAGTTAATGCAATATTTACACCCCTGAATGAAATATTGAGTGTTGCTCTCAGTGGCGTTGGTGGGAGAATAGGGCTTAGGGACATCATAGCTCGTCTAATGAGATGCAGGTTCGTGTCATGATATTGTAGGCAGCGGGAAGCATTTGAGGACACATTTGTGTATCCTTCTTACAGAGTTTAGTTGTTTATTTTTCTCTTTTAGTTAAAAAGTGACACTTTCACATGTGGCGTCATTAGATCTAGTTTGCTAAGTGACTTTGATATAGCGTGTTTAATGGAGGGGCTGCAGAGTCAAACATTATTCAGAGGTTTTTGGATACACACGCCCCTCCTCTTTGTTCCTCCCTTCCTTCTCAATTCTTTATCATGCTCCATCTCCCTCATTGCCCTCCAGATGAACCGTCTGAACTGTAGAGAATCTCTTTTCATCTCTCAGTCTCTGTTCTTCTCTGTCTCTCCAAATTCTAGTTCAAGTAGGTTTCACTGGCAGGACAAAAAAACTATATGTGGTAGAAAATGTACCACAAGCCATATGGAACACAGATGCACTGTGTACATTCTTGGGTGGCTTTATATAAAACCGAAGAATCATTCAGCAGCAGTTCATGAATAACTGATTATAGTAATTATCACCCTCTTTCTCTGAGGTTAAGGCGAGCTGTGATGTATTTAGCAGCTAACGTCATTGACTTTTCATCTTCACCAAATACTGTCGATAGTGAGCATTCATTTCTACTCTCACTGTTTATCAGCAGCGCAGAAATTAAAGCTGAAATCAGGAATATAATGTGAAATCACTTAGGCAGTGTATTTCCATGGTTTGTGTGAATTATGAGCAGTGTCATTTATGCATAAATCACTGGGGCTACACTCTCTACACCTGGACGCCAGTAAATACAATAAGTGAGATGTGGTTTGTTTTGCAGGTGTGTATAGAGACGCAGCGGTTTGAGAGGCTAATGGAGTATTTCAAGAACGAGGACAACAACATCGACTTCATGGTATGTTCACACACACACACACACACACACACTAATGGCTTATTGATCACGCTACAATTCCTTGAAAATCCTACATCACCCGGCAAAAATGCAGATAGCTTGTGAAGCTCTTTGAGCTGAAGAAGCCTTGAGTGAATGCTGTTTGTGTAAAGCGTTTAGAGGGGCAGCAATTAGGAGTAGCTGGTCCAGAAGTGATCAAATAAAAACATGAATCATAGTTTTCAGCCGGTTAGAAATACAGATATTATTCAACGTGTGTCCTCAAAAGCAAAGAGACTGATTTTGCCTCTGCTTTCATGACACACACTCACAGGGCTATCAGTCTTCGGGCGAGGCCTCTAATTTTTCTCATCACAGCAGAAACTTCAGATGTGTGGTGCAGTACATCAAGGAGGAGTAGCCTTAAGCGTGGAACCTTAACCAAGTCTGTCATTTCCAGGCCGAGTAGTGCTAATTAGCCTGGCAGATGAGAATGAAAGACACTGTGAAGGAAGTGCCAACTTATACATTATTTTATCCAGCGTGTGTGTGTGTGTCCATGTGAGTAAAAACCAACAGAGGCTGTGTTTGAATAGGCATTCAGTAGGACTGCCCACGGTCCCCTCTGTAGGCTTTCAGCTGACTAAAGCAAACAGACTTTGTCAAAGCTGCCATGTTGCACTGAGACAACTGAGCTTCTTACCAGAAGTTTATCAAGCCAGTGTCAGGGTGAGGAGAAGTGTGAGTGTGTACATTAGACGCTGTGACGAGCTCCACCCCCCCACTCTGTTTATGCAGGCTTCCATAAAGCAGCTGATGTAGTTGAACCGGGTGATTTTGTTTGTTGTTTTTTCAGATCCCTTTTAATCTGCCAGATAAGCTGCTCTGCACACCAAGCAAGCACAATAATGAGGATTTATACACACAGTTTTCGTGGACCAAATTAAAAGGAAACAGATGTGACAATAGGCATAAAACCATTTCATGAAAGTACCAGGCTGTCTTACAAATAGATTAGTCTGTTAACACATTTTTACCTTGAATTGTCATCAGCTCGTTTTGATCTCATGGACATGTTATTTTCTTTTAATTAATTAAATTAATTAATTAAAACCTCCTCACCTACTAACTGTATTTACTCTGTTTTTATTCCCTAGGTGGCCTGTATGCAGTTCATCAACATAGTTGTGCACTCAGTGGAGGACATGAACTTTAGAGTTCATCTACAGTTCGACTTCACCAAACTGTGTCTGGACGACTACTTAGACGTGAGTTGGGACATAATGATGCAGGACAAAATGGACGGACTTGGCTCTTAATATTCAGCCCAGTCCAGAGCATAGGTTGTCATTACAGCACCCCTGAGACAGAAAAGCAGTCAATAATGGCTTTTAATTACCTCATAAAAATTTCTGTAAATCCATAAGTGAGATCAATGCTGGCCTCGGAGAATGAGATGTCACTCTTATCATCACGGTATCTGTTTTTTTGTGCGTGTGTGTATTTTCCAGAAACTAAAGCACACAGAGAGCGATAAGCTGCAGGTTCAGATCCAGGCCTACTTGGATAATGTGTTTGACGTGGGAGCCCTTCTGGAGGATGCGGAGACCAAAAACGCTGCCCTGGAGCGCGTGGAGGAGCTGGAGGAGAACATGTCACATGTAAGAGGCCTCGACTGTTGATTCTGATCTCTAAAATCCACAAAATGGACTCCTTAGGATGTTGATGGCAGTCTGTCTGAAGCTCTGTCACACTTGCTTGTTACCACACAGTGCCCTCTCAGAGTGGGATTACTATGATCTCATGCTGGCCCTTAACTGTCAGCCACCATAAAGAGACTGAGAGGGCACACACACATACACGTTCACTCTGCAACATTCATAACTTTAAAGTCCTCACAGTGTGTTTTAATCCAGAAGAATATATACAAATTAAATGCCTTCCATCATTGCCCCACGGATCTCTTTGCTGACATATTGAGTTAGATGTTGTCATAGCAATGAGTTCACGGCACTGTGTGACCCTTTCCTGGCTATTCTTATAGATGACGGAGAAGCTGCAGGACATGGAGAACGAGGCCATGTCCAAGATCGTGGAGCTGGAGAAGCAGCTGATGCAAAGGAACAAGGAGCTTGAATCTATCAGGGTCAGAATCCCGCTCTGAACATTCACATTCATCTTTTAAGTTGTCATTTAAGCACACACAGCACCCACTAAGTACAAATAGAAAGGCAATACTAAAGTGTTCCATAAGATATAGAAGTGTTTCATGGACAGACGAGGGAAATTCCCATCCCCACAATAGATATTTAAATTGTATGTTTTCCATTTTTTTAATAGTAAATGATTCCTCTGTTCCTAATTTAAATTAGTACACTAGATTTTTTTTAGTTGCCAAAGTTCTTGATCAGCTTCATTGTTCCTCTTTAAGTTTTTACAAACCTTAAAACCTTGTTTCTGTCCCTCTCCCACTCAGGAAGTCTACAAAGACACAAGTTCGCAGGTACACTCGCTGCGACAGATGGTAAAGGAGAAGGATGAGGCCATCCAGCGGCAGAGTAACCTGGAAAAGAAGATCCACGAACTGGAGAAACAAGGCACCATCAAGATCCACAAGAAGGGAGACGGTGACATCTCCATCCTGCCCTCGCTACCTTCCGGTGTGGAGCACTTGCCAGGCGCCGTGATGGGAGGAAACAGTGCTGCTGTCGGTTCAAACCACGTGGGAGTCGTAGGGGGCACGTCTGCTACCCCACCACAGCCTCCCCAACCCCCTCCTCTGCCAGTGAACGGCACATGTAGGTTTAATACTCCAGTTTATTAGCGTATAAACTGTTAATTGTGAAATGCAGAAAGAAGAGAGAAGATGGGAGAGAAATGTACACATTTTGAATGAAAAAAGTGTCAAGTAGTTAATGTTTTACTTTGAAAAGTTTAGCTATTGTAACAAACATCAGCTTTAGAGATGTACAGATCATGGAGCTGGGGACACAGGACTTGCCACCCCCTCTATTTTTGTTTACCATCTCTCCTTTCTCCCAGTGTCAAACGGACCATCATCGGCCGTTCCTGCACCAGCAGCTCCCCCACCTCCGCCACCTCCCCCTCCACCTCCGCTTCCTCCCCCAGGGCCGGCCTCGTTAATCTCAGCACCTCTGCCTCCTCCGCCTCCTCCTGCAGCCCCACCACTGCCCGGCTGTGGGACGCCCACTGTTATCATGAACTCTGGGTTAGCAGGTAAGGTCATCCAGTGGAAAAATCCTATAGTGGGTATAGCAGTTTATGTGTGTATTACATGTAGGAAATGGAGGATTTGTTGTTACCTGAACTTCTCTGCTGATGGCTATATATAATAGTGGTATTTTTACTTTTTCTACACATATAAGGACATTACAATATTAACAAGGGCATTACAGTTTCACTTTCCACAATAAAGGCAGTATCAGAACAACAGATAACCATACTGCCAGTAGCTCCGGCTGCAACTTTGCTTGCTTTGTCTGAGCTGAAAAGGAAATCCAGCTTTATTTCGACGACTTTCCTCCACTACAAGCGTTCAATGTTAATGCCACTTTAATACTTCCTGCAGCTGCTTCACTGTAAAAGCTTTTCTGTTACTGAACATGTGATGAAAGCATAGGCTCGAAGCTCCCACTGGGGGGCTTTTACTGTGAAGCAGCTGCATGTGTGCGGGGAACAGTGCTGAGTACCACAGACTGGCTATGGCTTGTTGCTCAGTAAAGTTAAAATCTGTATTTATATGTTTTTCAAAGGTTCATTGGATGGTGGACCAGAATTAGATATTGCTAAATTATTACTGAATTATAATGTTGAAGTTGCTGAAAATGCAGTGTGAAATTATTTTGATCTTAGCAACAAACCAACCAACAAATTAATTCATTGTTTAAAAATAGTTTAAACTAAGGTTTCCAAATCCTATCAAACTTACTGTCAGGCATGCTCCTGCTCAGATGATGAGCATTGATAAGGCTGGACCCTTATGTGACTCATTGAAGCAGACTCTATAACCGGATCTACCTCTACTGTATTTAGATGTGGGTGTACATTCCCGGGTATGTATACATGTGTAAACTCGACTATTAGAGTCTAGTTACAGCCTTCCTGAAAAACTTGAAATCTAGAAGTCAGAAAATACAGTGACGCCAGTTTTTATTGGTTCCACCAGTCAGTGAGATCCTTTACTTTACCTTGTGTGATTGAGATGTGCATGTGTATGCTTTCTCACTAACTCTTGCCAATTTCGTAATGATTTGTCTTTGAATTGTTTCTCTTTCTGCCAACCAGAGGGACCCATCAAACTTTTCTGTAGGTTCTGCTTGTCATGTTTGGTGTCTCTCCCCCCCACTGTTCCCCTCCTCTGTCACACATTTTGAAAATGGTATTTTCTGTCTCTGAATCTCAGTATAAAACACGTCTACATCTCTCAGTATCTCTCACAGTAAGACTTTCCGTGAAACACTGAGATGATTTTAACAAGAAAGAAAATACCAAATTTCAAAATTCTGCATGGTTTACCTTCACACGTTGCTGTAGTTTTGTTTGTGTGTGTGTGTCTGTGTATGAATTAAGTGTATCTCCACATGTATCTCCAAGTGTCGGTTGCATGCTGAGACACAATGACCTGCTGTGGCACGCAGCTGATAGAAAGTGATAGGCAGTATGCAGAGCTGGAATGCTGTTTACCTTTCCCATGATAGCCCTATCTTTTCTGTCCCTGCCTGACACCTCGTATGTGTGGGAAAGCAGGGTGGCGTCTCAGTGTTCAGCTTCAATGAATCAGCCCTGCTGGCCACAAATAGCCATAATCTGTTGGATAAAGTAGTTTGTCACCAGGCCAGGCAGGAAATCCTTACCATAGGCATACCCTGTGGCCTTATTCTCTTGCCAGAGGCTAACACGCTTCACTCTGCTTGAAGTATCACCAAGTTTAGTTTAAAGATAGAGAGAAATCAAAACAACTTGAAGTATATTGATGTCATACCCATGTGCGTCACCAATCCCAGTTACCTGTCTGCCCTCTCACCTGCATGTGTGTGAATGTACGTGTGTGTTCTCTGATGGTAGATAGGGACGCTGTGCTAACTCTTATGTGTCCTGTGTAGCTGTTAAGATCAAGAAACCCATCAAGACAAAGTTCTGTATGCCCGTCTTCAACTGGGTAGCCCTGAAACCAAACCAGATCAACGGGACTGTCTTCAATGAGATTGATGATGAGAGGATACTCGAGGTAGGTGTCTTCTCTCAGTTAGCAAGTCCATTTCTTTTTTCCACGATTAGAGAAAGTGAGCTTATTCTTTTCTTGCTGTCTCTAAGGACCTAAACGTGGACGAGTTCGAGGAGATGTTTAAGACGAAAGCTCAGGGCCCGGCAATCGACCTCACCATGACCAAGCAGGTCAGTCAAAAGGGGCCCAACAAGGTGATGCTACTGGGCTCCAACAGAGCGAAGAACCTGGCCATCACACTGAGGAAAGTGGGCAAGACTCCCGAGGAGATCTGCAAAGCCATTCAGATGTAAGCCCCCCCTCAAAATAAAACAAAAGACCCTAATCCTACTGGGTTTCTTATGTTTGAATGAATGAGACTTATTGTTTTGAGTGTACTGTATGCCAGTATTTGATGAATGTTATTATACAATAACATCAGTATCAGTAATTGTTTCAAGACCTTAAGCATATGTTATCAAATGCTGCATGTAATTTACTTTGTGTATCTCCACCTGCCTGCCTCTCCCCTCTTTCAGCTTTGACCTACGAACTCTGCCGGTGGACTTCGTGGAGTGTCTGATGCGCTTCCAGCCTACTGAGAATGAAATTAAAGTCCTGCGGCAGTTTGAGAAGGAGCGCAAGCCACTGGAGAGCCTGACGGATGAAGACCGCTTCATGATGCAGTTCAGTAAAATTGAGCGGCTCATGCAGAAAATGACCATCATGGCCTTCATCGGCAACTTCTGTGAGAGCATACAGATGCTAACGCCGGTGAGGACTATCATCTCTTTGACGCTATATTTCGAGACTAAGAGATTGGCACTGAACGCCTTCTCATGCCATCCTCTTTGTTTCCTCGCAGCAACTTCATGCCGTCATCGCAGCATCTGTGTCCATCAAGTCATCACAGAAGCTGAAGAAAATCCTAGAGGTAACTGGGTAATTTGTGTCTGGATTAAACATGCTGTTAAATGAATGCATGGTCTCCTTTTTCACATTCTTGTTCCTTCTTGTTGATCAGATTATCTTGGCTCTTGGAAACTACATGAACAGCAGCAAAAGAGGGGCAGTGTACGGATTCAAGCTGCAAAGTTTAGACTTGGTAGGTTGCCTCTTTCTGCCTTTTAAAGCCTTGTACTTTTTACTCTTTACCCAAATTATTTCTAATGTTTTGTGTTTTTTCTTTTAATTTAGCTACTTGATACCAAGTCGACGGACCGTAAATTAACGCTGTTACACTACATAGCCAACGTGGTAAAGGAGAAATATGCGCAAGTTTCTCTCTTCTACAACGAGCTGCACTATGTGGAGAAAGCTGCAGCAGGTGAGATGTATCCACATGTTCTTGTTTGTCTTTTTACCATTCAGTGCAGGGGCGCACGTGTTACTCACACTGTTGCTTGTGTCCACAGTGTCGTTGGAGAACGTCCTGTTGGATGTTAAGGAGTTAAACAGAGGCTTGGAGCTGACCAAAAGAGAGTACAGCATGCACGGCCACAACACCATGCTCAAAGACTTCATTGCACACAATGAGAGCAAGTTGAAGAAGCTACAGGATGATGCCAAGATTGCACAGGTAACATGAGCACACCTGGTTATGTAATCTGCTCTAGTGCCTGGTTTTTTTCTAACTCTGTTAAGGGTGAAGGTTAAATGTTTTCTAAGCACACTGCCTGTCTTTGAAAGGATGCCTTTGACGAGGCAGTGAAGTTCTTCGGGGAGAACTCCAAAACAACGCCGCCCTCCGTCTTCTTCCCTGTGTTTGTCCGATTTGTTAAGGCTTACAGGGTGAGTTGGACAATCATCTCTCGCACAGTCACACAAAACCAGTTGAAATCTATCTATCCATCTATCTATC